TTGAAATTTTTCATTTGGATACAAAATAACCTGGGTTGATGTTCCGATTTTCTTATGTTATCTGATTCATTTTGCTTCAGGGAAGACTGTCCAAACTTTATTTTCTAAAATCCTATATAGTTTATTCTACTTTCTTGTTTTAGCTTTCACTAACTTGCTCTTGATTCCTGGTTATTTGCTGCTTGATATCTTTTTCTGTCTTGATAGAAGCAATACCTTCTCTTATTTCTCCAAAGATATGATGGGTAATATTTTTGAGGTTTTGAAATTGCTCAACAATTCCATATGTTAACTCTCTTTTGCTTTCTCCCACCATACTCCTTAGTTCTCCCTTTCTTGTCCCCTTACCTTTTCTTTACATATATTTTAAAATTTTTGGTTTGTTTTGGCCTCTGGCTTTTCTGTTAGCACTTCTAGATTGTTGCATATTTAAGGGTGGACAGGGTAGGAACAGCCTGATCAGCGGGTTAACAATCTAGAGGAGAGAGAAACTCTGGCCCAAGCTAATTACTGGCCAATCTTTAGCTTTTCTCTTCTATGCTGTTAGATTTCTCAGGGAAGACTCTTGCTGTCCAGCTGGAAGATTACTTGCTGATGCTCTGGGAATTCTACCTTGGAAGACTGCTGGAAGCTTGCCATTTATCCTGTAAACTTAGCAAGCTGCTGCTGCCATAGACCTTATTTGTTCCCTTTCCATAAACAGATCTGTGCTTTCCACCTGGATTGGCAAAGAGGCCAACACGATACACTGTTGCATATGATCTTGTAATCTAATAGTTTCTCAACACTAACTTCCAACACAGCACCTTATTTTAGCACCAGGTAGTGTCACCAACTCCTGCATCTTTCTACGAGCTAAGCTGGTGATTTTCTCCTTTTCCCGCTGCAGACCAAGCAGTTATATGACTCAAGATTTCTGACAGCTACCTTCTGTCCATTTGCTTTTCAAGTTCCACCTTTGGTCTAGTAAGTGTTCACAGTTTCAAAAGTCTCTCTGGGACCAGCATGTGGTATCGCAGATAAAATATCACTTGCAGTTCTGGAATTCCATATGCATGCTGGTTTGAATTCTGGATGCTCCACTTCCAATATAGCTCCCTGCCAATACACCTAGAGCAGCGAAGGATGGTCCAAGAGCTTGGGCCATTGCACACTCCTGGGAGAGCCAGAAGAAGCCGGTGGCTATGGCCTGGTGCAGCCCTGGCCATCATAGACATTTGGGAAGTGAATTGGCAGGTGGAAGATCTCTCTGCCACTCTCACACACTCTGTAACTCTAACCTTCAAGTAAATAAACATTTAAAAAAATTCTCATTCCAGGATATCTCATGAAACTTCAGGAGAATGCATAATTTGAGAATACATCAATCACTGTATTTATCCACCAGCACGTGGGATTTATCCCTGGTGCATAGGAATGCTTCAACATAAAGAAATCAATAAATGTAACATTTTTCATTAACCAGCTGCAGAATAAAAAACTACATGATTATTTTAGTAGGTTCCCTGAAATCATTTGATTATGGCAATATATTTTCATGATAAAATCTTAAGTATATTGGGTATAGGAGGAACATTCCTAAAAACAATCAAGGTAATGTATATAAATCCCTTAGACTACATCATATTGAATGGGAAAGTCGGAGGCATTTCTACAAAGGTTCAAAACTAGACAACAGTGGCTACCCTTATGACTGCTGTTCAGTGAAATCCTGGAAGTTTAAGTATAGGTATTAGGCAAGAAAGAGAAATCAAAGAGATACAAATTGAAAAGCAAGAAGTCAACTCATCTTTGTTTTCAGATTACATGATTCTGCATACAGGGGAACCAAAAGGCTCTACTGAGAAATTACTGGTACTCCTATAGCTTGATAACATTATGGGCTACAAGATCAAAACATACAAATCAATAGCCTTTGTACAAACGGACAACGCCAAGGCCAAGACAGAATATTTAAGATGAATCCCTTTCACAAAACAGCTGCAAACAATGTTTACTATCTCAAAATAAATATAACCCATGGATGTGAAGAATCTCTGCGACAAACATTATAAAACATTAAAGAAGTAAACTGAAAATGACACTAAAACGTGGGAAATTATGTCATGTTGGTGAATTTATAGAATCAATGTCATCAGAAGCGTGAAGCAGGATCCCTGCCTTACACAGTAATCGACTGATCAAAGTTCTGAATCTACAACCTGGGAGCATCAAAGTACTAGAGAAAATATCAGGGACACTGAAAATATGGTATAGATAAAGACTTGTTGGGAAAGACCCCAGAAGCACAAGCAACTAATGAAAAAAAATGGGATTACATCAACCTAAGAAGCTTCTGCACTGAAAAGGAGATTGTCAACAAGGCGAAGAGGCAGTCAACACACTGGTAGAACATATTTACAAAGTATTCAGTTGACTAACATGAAGGATCTAAAAAGCACTCAAGAAACTCAACAGCAACACAACAAACAATCCAGTTAAGAAATGGGCAAAGGACTTGAACCATTTTTCAAAGATGAAATACAAATGGCCAGTAGACACATAGCCAGGCTCACTTGCCACCAGGAAAATGCAAACGAAAAAACAGAATGAGGCTTCACCTCACACTACTTAGAATGGTTATCATTCAAAAATAATTTTAAAAACTAAAATGCTGACAATGATAGGGAGGGAGAAGGTACTTCATCCATTGTTGGAAGGACTGTGAACTTGCACAACCTTAATGGAAGGCGGTATGGAGATTCCTCAGATAGCTGATAAAAGGTCCACCATATGATCCAGGCATCCCGCCCTGTGTATTTATTCAAATGAAGTGAAATTAGTGTATGAGTCATCTGTACCCTCATGTATACAGTGCTCAATTCACAATAGCTAATATATGGTATCAATCCAGATGCCCATCAAATGGTGATTGAATAAAGAAATATATACATAGACACACACATAGCTTGGAATACTGAATAGCCAAAAAATAAAAAAGGAATGAAATCTTGTCTTTGAAAACTAACTGAATATAATTGCAACCACTATGCTTAGTGAAATAAGCCAGTCCCCAAGAGACAAATGTCATATGCTTTATCTAATCTGTGATAACTAATATGCAGGGCAAAAAATGTAATTTATATGAGTGAACCTAACATCCTGGGATAATTTTGATAGCTTTTTTCAGCAGTCCTAGGGAAGAGTGTGTTTTTCTTCCGACTGTCTATGGGTTGATATCTTTACCTAGTGGAGTGTTATGCCTTTGATTTCCACGTGAAATAAAAATATGCCATTATATAAACTGGGGAAAATAGTGGAGGAGGAGGGTTGATGGACATGCGGGCAAAAGGGGCAGTAGAGCAATAAGGATCACACTGTGCCTAAATCTCTATTGTGAAATATGTGAAATTTATTTACTTTATATAAAGAAAGAAAGACATTTTTAAAACATACACATAAAACAAAATCTATTATTTTGCCCTCATAGAAGTTTCTATGCCTGTAGGTCTATATGTTTTGGTAGTAGAATGGAAACTAATTATATACTTTAGTAGTCATATGTAAATCTGCTTCTCCAGAGACATTTTGTATTCCCCAAATTGTAGCAAAATACTAAATGTTTATAACACATTGTTTAAATGACATCTATTTGGTAAAGAGAATATAATTTGAAAATTTAAATTAAAAAAGAACTATATTAATTCTGTCCCAGGATGGTGCCTTATGACCCAATTACTGTCTCTCAGTATCACTGTGATGGTCCAAACTCTCGGCACATGGACCTTGGGAGGCAAATTACATTCAATCACAGTAATGGACTGATCTCTCCACCTGTCTTCCTGATGCCTCTGTCATTTCTACCCTATTCCAAATTAATTCCTGTGTGGTGTTTTCAAAAAGAGCACATGTTTTCATATCTCTGCTTCAAATATTGGCTGACTTACTTTCTCTTGGGATACAAGCTCTTTTCACTACCCCCAGTTCCCAGCCTCCAACTAACTGATTTTCCCCATATTGTCACAACAGTACGTTCCCTCATAAGGAGTGGCAGTTCCATCAGTCTACCATTCAAGTGTGCCCCAGCATTGCTGGTGTAGACAATGTGAGACAGTCCAGCATCCCAGTGTCTAGATATTTCCAACACTTTCATTGGAAGTCCATCTGTTATTTGGAAGTAGGGATGCATGTTGCAGTGTGTCTTCACATCTGGATATGATAGTCTCCATTACTCCATCACTATATACTCCAATTTGCATGATGGTTTCCTTATATTAGACAGAACATATGGTATTTGTCTTTTTGGGATTGACTTATTTCACTTATTTCACTTATTTCATAGAGAGCATAATTGTCTCTAGTTGGGGCCGTCTAGCTGCAAATGATATAATTTCATTCTTTTTAATGGCTGGGTAATATTCCATGGAGGAGATGTATCACAGTCTCTTTAACCATTCCTCCTTGGACAGGCAACTGGGTTGTTGCCATGCCTTTGCTACTGCAGACTGTGCTGCTGTAAATACAGGATTACAGATATTTCACTCACATCATTCCACTCTTTGATTTTCTGTACTTGGTTTATTATCAACTTTCATGCCTTTAAATGCCTGTGTCCCTCCTGGCACAGAACCGTTGAAGATTTTTTCTAGCCATAAGTATTTTCATTATCTCTATGAAATCGGGTGTCATCCACTCCAGACCGAACTGGGTTCTAATCCTGAGCTTCTCTACAAGATACTGCATTGTCATTACTCATTTACACTCTTGTGTCCCCATCAGATGAAGAGCTCCTGAGCCAATTCTTTGTATCCTCAGCCTAAAATGCAGTGGCTGGCACATTCTAAGCATGTGTAATTGCATTATGAATGAAAAAAGCAGCAGCCCACTTAATATCAACAAAGTAAATAATCAGTGACAAAAGTAATCTATACTTTAATAATTAAGAAGTAAAGCAAAATTTTCAAGAAAGAATTCAAGGAACGTACTTTTTGAATACCAAGTAAACATAGGCTTTTCCTTACTTTCTTTGTTTTCCCCATTGCCTTCAGGATGGAAAGATTGAGATCTTCAAGTGCTGCTAGTACATTCTCATACTCGCCCAAATGCTGAGAAAAATACTCTGAAAGTGAAAATACGGAAATATATTAGTGTCTCAGTGTAGATAATGGTAAAAGAAGAAAGCTTAGATGATGCAGTCCATGAGTAAAACAAATAAACTGTCAGTTACAAAAGGAGACTACAAAAAAGTTTTTAAATGTGACTAAATGTGCACATGGGTTATTTCATTAAAAAAGAGAAAGAAAGCTGCATGGTTATCATTATTTCTGCATGATTTTCTTTCCTACAAAAACAGCGGAAAATGAATCTAGATCTGCTGAAACGGTTCTTTCCATTAAAAATAATTCCCCACAGCGTATTCTTATACCCATTACTCTGACAGAAGTAGAAAGACATCAAGTTACATTTTAGTGCTTTTTCTGGGAAACACTTCAGAAATGTAAGCGGTCTTCAAAGTTAAGAATCAATAACGCTGCAGAACGCAAGCAAAGCCTCCTGTGGGTCCTTCCTGTGGCTGTTTCCATTGGGATCCATTTTCATTTTCCAACAAACTGGACTGGGCAAAGGGCGTGCTTACCACATTTTTCAAATGTTAGGGATAACTTCTGTATTGCATATATTGCTCATATTTCTAAGACTGGAACAGAGATTGAGTTAGGAAGTCATGACTAACATCTAAGTTATTATGACATGACTTACACTTAGATTTAGAAATCTTAATATTTCTAAAATGAGAGCTATCTGGCTTAGTACATTCATAGGCTGAAAAGAACAGGAGCCTGAAGGTAGTAGAAAACCAGTGGTCCTCATCACCCCTGGGAACTTTATCTCTGGATGAGCAGCAGGCTATTACTGTGCCTCTGTAATGTAGCCTTTGTATTTGTGAAATTAAACTGACATGTAAATATAGTTCATGTAAGCTACTAGGAATCCTAGAATCAATTCCAACATTTTTGATGAAAGCTTCTGTGATTAAATTAACACTCCGTGTGCGATTATTGATGTTGATAGCGACAGCAAACAAAAGGTACCACTGATATATTTGGTCAATGTGTAGGCTTCTAAGAAGAAAGACAACACAAACAACAAATAAATTCTAGAACACAGCTATCAAAATAGAGTATGTGGATGTATAGGTTAAATAAAATAGCAGAACCTAAGCCCCGAGAGGGTCTTAGAGTATTAGAGAAAATGGTTAATAGACACAAGAATGCAATTAGAAAGGCGAAAAATTTCCAATGTTCTACAGCTATGTAGGGTGGTGACTGTTGATAATGGCTAGTACACAGGATTTTGGATTTTCCTACCACAAAGAAAATATCTGAGGTGATTCATGCACCAATTACTCTGATCTGATCATCACACATTGCATACATGTGCTAAAATGTCAAACCATTTCCCATAAATATGTATAATTACTATATGTCAAAGAAAACAAAAAATATTTTAAATGACACATTTCTGCCCAAAAAAGCACAATGTATTCTAAAATATGGAATGCTTGAAGACAATGATGCAAAGCATCTCTTATAAATATTCTATTAAGAAGGCATTAGCTGGAATTAAGTGAGAAAGCACACAGTCTTTACATGCCTAACTCAAACTAACATTTTAATTATGATGATGATGATGCTGACATTTTAATAACGTTGATAAAGATGTTTAACTTTATGTAATTATTTGAACTGCACTAAGTATCCGTGGACAACACTCTTTAAAAACTGACAGCATCGCTGTAGGATTTTCAGAGTTGGAAGAACATTAAATCAAGTCCATACAAAGGTGAAAAAAGGATAAAGTGTAAAGTACTGGAAGCTTTAGGGTTTTAGAAAATTATAATACACACCAAGCCTCAAAGAGATTGTAATAGGTGACAAAGAACAGGAACAGGCATTTTTCAAATTAGGAAACATAAATACCAACAAACATAAAAAATGCATACTGCCATCCCATGTATATATTCTAAAAATAATTTTAAAATTACAAATTCTAGTAAGAGTATACAGGTACCATAACACACCATGGGTGGAAATATAAACAGATACAACTGCTGTTAAAGGCAGAATGAAATTTCCTCAGAAAACCAAAACAAGGTCTACCTACTGATACCCAGCTGTCCCACAAAGGTATCCAAAGGAAATGAAATCAGCATATGAAAGTTAACCTGCATGTTTACGGCAGCTCAATTCACAACAGCTAAGATATGGAAGCCATTCAGATGCCTGTCTGTTGGCGACTGGGTTATAAATGTGATCTACAGACATGGTAGAATATCACTCAGCTATTAAAAAGAAGAAAATCCTAAGTTTGTGGAAAACCAGACCCAAAGGAAAATATATCTTCTTTTTCTCTTACTTGTTGTAGGTAATATACAGCAGATATAAGCTGTGTGAATGCCACACTATTTGGTATGTAAATATGGCTCTACTGAATCATACCTTTAAATGATAATACACTCATTTCAAGTGCTAAAAAAAGAAATGGAGGGAAAGCAATGAAGATTCTTCGGGGCCTATTAATGCTCTGTCCGGGATCTAGATTTGACTATGAATATGAACATGACAAAAATGTTCATTTATCAGTCCATTTAATGCATGTCTTGGCATAACACTATATCTCAGTGAAATGTTAAGAATAAAAATACATTTAGGCAGAAATGCATGAAGCAAAAACAGGAGAATGTGGAACATTAGCATACCAGGTTTATTAAATGCAGTGGGTCACCTTTTAAAAAGTGTATCAGTATAGATTCCAGGAGAGAAGTTGATTTTCATCTTGAAATCTCATCAATGAATACACACATAGACACACGATGATAAAACCCACGAGCAAACCAATGACCAGAAGCCTCAGAGCTGACACCTATCCGGAGTCATTCTTTCTCCATCCTCCGTCCATCTATTCGTATCAACTCTACAAATTACTAAGAAAAAAGAAAATTACCTCTCAAGCAAAGAAAAAGAACTGATAACAGAGAGAACTCTGATAATCTACAAACTTTGGGTAGAAAATGGAGCTATTTTAAATTATTTCAGCTCCACTTCACTCAAGCTTTTTACCTCTCAACAAGTCAAGGCTAATGAGGCTCCAATAAATTCCAAGAGAAGCTAAATGAAAGAACCAGAGACATTTAATATAGAAAGAATAATTTCCCTGCACTTCATATTGCGAAGTGTTCATTTACTCAGTTCATGACGGACTATGCTTATTGCCTTTAATGTGCCAGGTGCTGCGGCAGAAGGTGATGATACAACGGTGAACAGACAGACAACTTGTTTTTACAGAGCCAACAATCAGCGAAGGTAGAGTAACATCCCAACAAACAAGTATGATCACTGTTCGAAGCGAGGGCTCAAGAGCTCAAGGACAACATGCAATCCAATTACAGAACGGAGAATGCTCAAGCCTGCTTGAGATAAGTCAGACAGAGCCTAATGGGGGGACATAACAACAATGCCATTAAAGGATGAGAAGGACTTAACCATTGGATAATCAGAGAAAAGTCTATGTAGCAAGTACTACCTCATTATGCTTGCAGGAGTGTGTAGTTTAACCCTAATCCAACATAAAGGACAGAATGAAACGATATTAAGGACGTTGGGTAGTAAGGAAGCAGGACACTAAAGATCAGGGATGAGAGAGGAAGCTGGATGTGCTCAAACATTCTTTGCTAGGTGCAGTAACTTTGATCTCAAGGTTAGGTCAGTGTTTTTCACCATCAGCATCAGAATTCTCTAGGATCTAGTTTTCAGGCTAGAACCATGCATTCCACTTGGGAACTTGTTAGCCTGTAATATTTAATCCAAGCTTGCTGAATCACAAGTGCATCTTAATAAGTCCTCAGGTCAGTTGTTGCATATTTAAAGACTTTCGTTTGCTTGCTTACAAAGGTTTACTTATTTATTTGAAAGGGAGAAATCTGTTGGTTCATTCCACAAATGCTAAAATGGCCAGACCTAGAGTTTCTTTTAGATCTCCCACATTAAAGTACAGCAGCCGTTGGTCCATCTACTGATGCTTTCCCAGGCACATTAAGAGGGAGTTGGGTTGGAAGTGGAATGGCTGGAATTGGACTGATGCCCTTACAGGGTACTGATGTCATAGATGGCAGCCTAACTCACTATTCCACAATGCTATGTGCTAGAATATCTGTTAGAAATGAAGAGTATCCATATGACGTTATCTTCTAAATCCATTTTGGGGGTTGAATGCCAAGAATAGTTTTTTAAAGGTTTCCAAGGAGATTATCATGTAGATTTAATTTGACATTACTGTGGACAATGGGAAGCCCTGGAAATGTTTCGAAAAGCATGGTATCACTTCTAATCTTCCAATCTGCAAGGCATACACATATGTACTGTCAACTATTTGAGGAATGTTGGTGACACTGTCAGAAAGGGCCAAGGATACCAACCAACTTGCAGGAGTGATTTCATCACAGTATACAAACCATGGCTCTATCAAAGCTGAGGTGTGGGAGCTGATCACAAGCTTAGAATTCTGGCAGTCCACCCTCATATCCCAAAATACGGCAGCCGCGCAGGGGTGGTCAGTGATGGCTTTGGGCATGAACATGGAATAATGTTTTACTCTGGTTATTGTCCTCCGTTCCTCATTTGAATCACAATGCCAGTGTGGACTGGGCAAATGTTTCGTGCTGAAAGCACAGCACTGGAGTGGGGAAAAGAAGTTTCAGGAAAATTAAGATTTGTAAAAATCTTTTCCTTTGGTTCTTAAAATAATTTCCTGGGGGGGTGGAATACTCAATTTTCTTGAGAACCAAATATAGACTCTATGGGTTTGAGTGAAGCAGGGCTGTCCTGCACTTATGGACCATGTGAGAACCAATCACCATCAGTGTAGGTGAAGAATCTTTGAAAAGTAGAGTCTGGGCATTGAGAATATGAGTAACGAAAGAAAAGAGCACAATTTACAAAAACAATGATGTATGAAGCAAGGCCAGGAAACAGATGGTGCTCCGAGGATCTCCTCTGGCACGCCTTCTCCAATAACACGCTCACAAGAGGATGGCTTCTCCTTCCACCAAGGCATTTTATCAGTGGATTTGTATGCAAAAAACTGCAAGTATTTTTTTTTATTTCACCTTTTGTTTTTAAAGTTTGATTATATCTGAATTCAAAGAGACAGACGACTGACTCATCCATTGGTGGCCAACAATGCCAGAGCTGCTTCAGGGCGAAGTCAGAAGCTGGAAGCTAGATACAGGCTTCCCACATGAACGGCAGTGACACCGGTCCTTCAGCCAAGGCCTGCTGCTTAGCAGAGTGTGCACTGCCAGCAAGCCGGATTAGAAGAAGACCAGCTGGTATTCAAACAGGTGTTCCACTATAGGGCGCGAGCATGCTCGGCAGTGACTTCAGAGGTGTGCCACATGTCCACCCCTCGTAGTTTCTAGTCTGTATTTCAATTCTCCAAGTTACTGAATCCCATAGCTGCCACAAGGGTCACACTGGGAACTGGGCTCACAGTATTCTCTTGAATTGAGATTATTTTGTCTATATTGATCTTGTGAGACCTTCTAAAACAGACCAGGAAAACAAAAACAGGGAGGTAGCAGAAAAGAGATATATGCATCTAAAGACCTCATGTTCTGAATAGGAGTATTAGAATTGTAGAAACATGGATTATTTAATGAGGTATAGTAGATCAGTATTACCCAAGTGTGTTTTTTTTAAAGTTTATGAAAAGAGGGAGAGACAGAGAGACAGGGGGAAAGACAGAAAGACCCTTTGTCTGCTGGTTCACTCTCCAAGCAGCCTAAACAGCCACAGCTGAACCAATTCGAAGCCAGGAGCTTCTTCAGAGGGTGCAGGGTCCCAAGGCTTTGGGCTAGCCTCAAATGTTCTCCCAGGCCAATAAGCAGGAAGCTGGATAGGAAGCAGAACATGTGGGACACAAATCGGCACCTTTAAGGGATCCTGGGCTTGCAAGATGAGGATTTAGCCATTGAGTCATCGCACTGGGCCCCTACCCAAGTTGTTTTACAACTAAATCACGGCTAACATGTGCTAGTTGGGTAGCCAGGGCTCTGACATTCTGAAAAAGACAGGTTTCTTTGCACTGCATGTGCTGTGGCAATGCAGGCTGATGCAACTACTAAAATAACCAAGCACAGAAAGCTAGTAAGCTTTTATTATGTACAGTTTCCTGCACTGTCAGTTTTTATTATCTTATTTGTACACCTCATCTAACTTTTAAAATAGCTGAATATTTAGTCGGCAACATGAGGAAGAGCTAATATTGCACTATTCGATGTATTCACCCTTCCAAAGCTTCCTTACAAATTTGCTTTCTGATCACTCTCGCTGCATGAACTTTAGTTGCAATTGCTCTTCATCCATCTATAAATATCACAATTCTTAGCTACCAAGTGCAAAAGGGTTCAGGAAAAATGGAAAGGTTATGAAAGTAGTCTTAAGAAGAAAGCAATAATTATGCTCATGATTGCTTTAGATCAGAGCTAAAGATGGAACACATACAAAAATACAAAATTCAGTGCTGGAGTTCAGACACAATTGCTTGATTAAAATCATGCAGTGAAGGACATGAACAGGCATTTCTCAAAGAATGAAATCCAAATGGCCAACAGACATAGGAAAAAATGCTCAGTGCAGTAGCTCATAAAAATCACAGTGAGGTTTCACCTCACCCCATTAGAATCACAATCAGCTAAAAATCAAAAACCAATACACGCTGGCAAAGATGTGGGGGAAACCTACTCTAACCTTCTGTTGGTGGGAACATAAAGCAGTGCAACCACAATTGAAACCACCAGGGGGAGTCCTCAGAGATTGGAAAGATCTACCACGTGACCCAGTCATCCCATTCTTAGGGATTTATCAAAATGAAATGAAATCAGCATGTGAGAGAGTTATCTCTACTTGTATCTTTATATCAGCATAATTCACATAATGGCTAAGATGCGGAGTGATCCTGGTGCCCACCAGCTGATGCCAGTGCACAGAAGATGGGGTACTCACTCTGTGGAATATCACTTAGCAAAAAAAGGAGGAAATCTTAGGTTTTATAACTCCGTGGATACTACTGAAAATCATTATACTTAGTGAAATAAGCTAATCCCCAAAAATAAATATCATGCTTTCCCTGTTCTGTGAGTAACCTCTAAGATCAAATGAAAGCAGCAGAAAGTTTTAGACATCTGCAATGTTTCATCAGCTTGCAGGAGAAACCACGTGAACTCCACCTTCTGTGCCAATCACGCCCCACTCCTCCCGCACAGAGGGAGCCAGCGCAGGGCGTGAGGTGGCATTTCTCTTGCCAGCACTGAAGCACTTGGTTTTGATTAGAATCCAACTTAAATATTTACTTAATGTTCACAAAACAATGAGAAATGAAACCCTACCATGGAAATTAAAATATGGATTGTTGAAGAGGGAGGAAGAAAATTAGACCGTGATTGGGACTACCGTTATTGGACTTAACAAACAGGTAATGCCACTAGTTCATTTAACTAAAATATGGGGGGATATATGGTAAACTCCTTATCTAGTTCCCTTATTTTGGAAGAAAAGACAAACATTAAATTTACAGGGGATTAAATAAAGATTCACTCTTTTTAAAAATTTAAAATGTTTCAATTCCTGGTGACAACAGAGAGGCAATATAGCAAATTAAAGAGAGCCATTGAATATTCTTACTTCCAAAGCTCTGTTTTCTCATCAGATTACCCATTCCAGGTAAGGCAAAAATGGACAAGAGAATTATCTAAATGAGCTGAGAGAATGACTAATTGGCTTGCCTTACCTCAACATCTTATACTTCAAATGGATCTCCCACCTTCACGAAATTATCATAAAAACCACCCCAGCCCTGCACCTTCTCTGTCTACATCTACTGGCAAGGACAGCCTACATGGGCGTGAGGGTGTGCAGCGTCGTGAAGTGTAACCTTGCCATGCCTATCGCCTGCTGGGTGTGCACAGTGGAAAAGCCTTGGCAGATGGATTACATGTCCACTATATACAATTATTCAAGAATATTTATTCTGTTTGTTTCAGTAGAGAGCTGCAAAGTCTCATCATCATGGAGACTACTGTTCAGCAGGAAGCCTGGTGGCACGGATGCGTATGGGCCCTCCTGGCCACTCAGCCCTGGAATAGCCACACGTGAGTGGTGCCACCACCTAGGGGTGTGTTACTAGCTGGCCAGATTTTCCCCATTTTTCTCTGCCGGTGCTTCATCTATGAACAAAAGCACCAAGTGCTTCCCTTTAGACATATCTCGCTTTCCAGTCTGACTCTGCCCCATGAATCCTAGAGCTTGTGAGGCAAGAACCTCACCCATTAGGGTACTGCTCCGGGCCCTAGTTCTAGAATTTAACAAAGCCACCAACAACAGCCGTCTGACAATACTAACTAGTGATTATGTGCCATCTAATCAAAATGCCCAGAACAAAATGCCAGAATGCAGGATATCAGGACAACGGCTATGGACAAAACTACCATGACTGTCACCAACCATGAGTTTCTTTATTTTCCATTGGTCATGAAAATCTTTTTCTTGTCCCTAAGTAAGTGTCTAGGATTCCATATGGGTGCTGGTTGTAATCCCAGTGGCCCCGCTTCCCATCCAATTCCCTGCTTGTGGCCTGGGAAGGCAGTCAAGGATGGCTGAAAGCTTTGGGACCCTGCACCCATATGGGAGACCCAGCAGAAACTCCTGGCTCCTGGCTTTGGACTAGCTTGGCTCCAGCCATTGCAGCCGCTTGGGGAGTGAATCAATGGACAGAAGATATTTCTGTCTCTCCTCCTTTCTATATATCTGACTTTCCAATAAAAATAAATGTTTTTTAAATTTTTTAAAAGATTTATTTATTTTTATTACAAAGTCAGATAAACAGAAAGGAGGAGAGACAGAGAGGAAGAACCTCCGTCCAATGATTCACTCCCCAAGTGAGTGCAGTGGCCAGTACTGCACCGATCCAACGCCGGGAACCAGGAACCTCCTGTGGGTCTCCACGTGGGTGCAGGGTCCCAAGGCTTTGGGCCATCCTCTTCCCAGGGCCACATGCAGGGAGCTGGATGGGAAGTGGAGCTGCCAGGATTAGAACCAGCGCCCATATGGGATCTTGGCGCGTTCAAGGTGAGGATTTTAGCCGCTAGGCTATGGCTCCAGGCCCTAAAAAATTTCTAAAACTAAAAGTTATAGGACATTCAGTGAGTTCAGTGGCTTGTGTAACAAATCTGGAGATGTTCATGTGCAAGTGCAGGTGTGCTTCCCCAGCCTTGAGAGAGATCCAAACGGGACAACGTTATCACATGTTTACTTTAGAACAGAAAACTTAAAGTGTTCCAGGACCGAGAGAAATAGGACTTGTTAAAGTATACATATGTAATGATCCATATGTTTTCATTATGAAGAATAAATTTCAGATACAATTACCCATGACATTCTTAATCTGTGACTTTTGTCCTCAATCACAAAGATGAAGAAAGTAAATGAAGCAATCACTAGACCAGGCATTTGTAAAGATTCATCCCTCATCTTTGAATCACATATTTTGCAAGTGACATTTATAATTCCAGAAAGATTTAGGTAGGTGTGGGACAAAGTGATTTTATAGTTCAAAGAGACAGCTTTGCAAAACAGTAACAAAAGGTTCTGCGCAGCGTATTATGAAGAGAATAATGAGGTTGTCTTAAACACCAATTTAAGGATAGGCTCAAACTGGGGGAAAATTTGTTCTGATAAAACTGATGTACTAGTTGGAGTAATAATTTTCCTTCTCTGAGTACATTAATGAGGTCCATCTCTTTCTGCAGTGAAATATGTACATGAGCAAACTTGATGGGTAAAGATATCTTGAAATCATGATTTTTTTACTTTACTCCAGGATTCCTAATGGGATAACAAAGCCAGAATAAGTATATACATGTGAGTATCAAATTATACTGCCTTGGAAAACAAGCAAAGAGTTTGGTCATAAACAGACTTACCACATAGTTCTTCTGTGTCAAGATTGCTGAAAAAGACATTTTAGAAAGCATTATTAATTTTGTGATAGTTTTGATATGTTTTTAATATTTAAATACAGTTATTTTCCAATCTACATTATATTAATAAATTTAATATAGGTAGGTTTTATTATAAATTCTATACTGTAGGAATAGAAACAGATTATCAACAATGATTGTGCCAGATTCAGTCTCAGAAAAAAAATACTCCTTAGAGTTGCCCTTCACCCACTACTGTGCTGAGAGTATAATGCATGAGTGTGCAGGAGGCTCTGGAGTCAGAAAGGCATGAGTTCAAATCCTGACACTACAACTTACTTTCCATGTGACCTGGGACACTCTGCCTCTCTCTGTCTCACATCCTGAGTACCAAGAAAGAGATAATACCATGGGCTTACAAATGTCATAGAATTTAAACGCATATAAAATAATTAAAAGAATATCTGGCATGTAATAAACACTTGATAACTGCTAGATTTCTGACTTGATAGGACTACAATTTATGAATCTAAATTCAGTCTTTAGAGTAATTTAGTTCGTTCTTGCCCTGTCTAACATGCCCTCAGCTGTCATGACTCCTATACCTCCCCAGACTCTCCCCTCTAGGCAAGCTGCAGTCCCCCACGCCTGGGGGCCAGGATGATGTGTCCCAGCCTGGGGTTCCCTGCCCCCCACCCCCATGACTCGAGAAAGAAAGAAAGAATAGTTAACTATGCTGGCACACTGATGCAGTTAAATTTGGCATTAGCCAGGCCCCCAGCAGTGTAACACTCTCTTAGCTACAAGGCCATGTAGGCTGCTGCCCACAGCTGGGGCGGGTTCTGCTTTTAGAAGCAGTCAGGATTCCTGGAGAGAAGGAACACTGGTGTGAACATTTCACTTATTTGCATCTTTACCAGTTACTTCACTCATTTCGTTATGCAGCTTAAATATAAGATCTATTTTAAGATACCGTGTGTTTGCTTTTGGGCAAATGCTGTCTCCACACTCAAGTGGATCTTCATGCAAAGTAGTACTTGCTACATGCGAAGAGACTCATCTGTAAACTGGTACTGAGACGTATTCATTCTCTCATTTCTTCACTCCAGAAACCTTTGTTGCAGTAACACACATTGTTCTAACTGCCAGCATATATGAGGTTTCAACATATACCAAAATGAACAAGCTTATTTCTAGGCAATAAGAGCTCAACTTAGAGACTCTTAAAATAACTAAATTACACTAAACTGGGCAATAAATGCAAGTAGAGAACTAGCAAAAATCTCCATAAATACATAGAATAACAATGTTTAGCTATACCTCAAAGGTTGAGTAATAGTAGAAAAAGCAAAAAGGAACGTCAGGTTGGAGCAAAAGCTACATGCAATAACAGATGAAAGCCGACAGTATTTCATTGAACTTCAGGAAACTGCGCAGTTCCTTTGGCATAGGTCATTAATGAAACAGAACTAAATAATGAAAGGCCTTGCATGCTAACCGAAACAGTTTCTCTTTATTCATTTGTCTACTTGGAATCATACAATTTCAAGTGAGTAACATGGTCAGGTTTATACTTCAAAAATGTCAGTGGCAGATGGATTGAGATCAGACCGTGAGTAGGTACGAAAGAGGCCATGAGCCCAGCTCATCCACTGTCTGAGCAGGATATTCTGAATGAGAGAAGGAAGCCAGCAACTTGGCAGTGCAGGCCCCCAGCAAGGTGAGAAAATGGAAATTCTTTGAAGTTCTACATGATATTGCATTTTCATAATTTTCCTAAAATTTGATGATGTGTAAATATCAATTGTGTACTTGTCTAATGATAAATAAGTCTGCATGTCCATATCTGGTTGCAAGTGTAAGGACATGAGCTAATAAGAGTTTGATCAGTAACTACTCAGAAGTTTGTCCTATCTATGGCAGTGGATAGAGGTGGGGAGAGAGGCAAAAAAGAAATGACATACCGGAACTCAAAAGCATGTTAGATGCAGGAAAAGAAAGCCTTGACATTTAAAAAAATAGTATTGGAAACACCTTTATTCACTAAAATACATGTTGTTTCCTAACTTCAATATTTTCAAAGGACTTCAGACTTGAAAAGAACTTTAAAGTGAGATTTTTGTTTGAATTTCAAAAAGAATGAGCAGCCCAACTTTATTAAAATTAGCTTACTTATAATAAATTGCAAACAGAGCAGTTCAGAATAATTTTCAAGGTATCAGCTCTACTTGTTCTCTAATAAAGCACTATGCTTGTAAACTATTGTAGCTTTTGTGGCCTCAAACATTCTTTTGTTCAGCTGCTTGTACACGCTATGTTGCTAGTAGGAGGAAGTGAAAGTGTCCTTCCTATAGCAGGCTTATATGTGTGAATTCCAGAACTGATTTCTTACTAAGATATGTTCCCATTCTTCTGTAACATTGGAATTTTAAAGGAAATCTAAGCTACAGATGGGTGTACAAGGTATGTGATAGTAGGTAATATTTCCCTGCTTATTCTTACATTCATAGTAGAAAATACAACCATATTTTAGTACTGCCATCATTTTGATCAAAATACACATAGAAGAGCAAGGTAAACGAAAAAAATGGATACTAGTTACACTATAAACATATTTTACTGACGCAGAACCAGAACATAACTACCTAACAGGGGCCTGGTGCGGTATCCTAGTGGCTAAAGTCCTTGCCTTCATGTACGGATCCCATATGGGTGCTGGATCTAAACCCAGTGGCCCCGCTTCCCATCCAGCTTCCTGCTTGTGGCCTGGGAAAACAGTCAAGGATGGTCCAAAGCCTTGGGACCCTGCACCTGTGTGGGAGGCCCGGAAGAGGCTCCTGGCTCCTGGTTTCAGGATAGGTGCAGCTCTGACTGTTGCAGCCGCTTGAAGAGTGACTCATTGGATGGAAGATCTTCCTGTCTGTCTTTCCTCCTCTCTGTATATCTGACTTTCTAATAAAAATAAAATACATCTTTTCTAAAAAAATCTACCGAACATTCTCAGTTACTAAAGAATAAAGTCATTCGTTCCAAGCTCTTTGGCCACAGGAGAAAATGAAGCAAATCCTACACTCAAGAAATGAATAAGTAAATTATGTATCATCATTGCAGTATACCTAAGGAGCTGTCAAGAATTTGGAAAAATGTTTAATAGTTATGTAAATGTTATATCAGACATAAATACACCTATATATATGGGTGTGTATATGTATGTATGCAGGTATATACATATTCAGTATATATACAAGATAGAAGAAAGCAGGAGAAATAAGCAGTGTTAAAGCATAAAAAGTAAAAATTGGTAATTGCTCTTTTCATATTTAACTCCTTATGAAGCTACTTGATATAGATTGCATTTGGTCAGTTTGGACTTGGCATTCAATTTTGTAAACAGCACACTTGTGGCAGTTCCAATGAAACACTGACACAACACACAATCTAACGCAATTCATTTGTAACCTATGTCAGCAGTTGAAATTGTTTTGACTTGACTCTTCTGCTTTGGGCATTCCAAGCTCTGATGAACCAAATTCCCATTCTAAGAATGTTGCTTGCTCAGGGAAAGAGAACATTTGGGATGTGTCTCTCATTTCTGTTGGGAACTCTGAATGCCCTCTGAAGCTCTGAATCCTAGGAAACTTCCTCAAAACAATTTTTTTATTCAGATGAGCAACATTCATTATCTCTGAAGTGTTTTCTACTAATTGAGCTGCCTTAATGGTTTCAACTCGTAAATAAATAAGAACGAAGGAGTATGACTCGCTTACTAAAATTAAGCCAGCATCCTAAATCCTCTCTGGCTGCTTCTCATTGTGTTTACTTACTTTTGCTTCTTTTTCAAAATGAAGAAGGAATAAGAGACATGAGCTGGAATCTTGAAAGAGTGAGTCATAGCTTACGTTTACCAAGCTTCCTATTCATCAGCCACCAGCCTGAACACTACCAGAGTAAATGAGCAGTTCTTTTTTTTCCTTCGGTTGGCAAAACATTGTGCTAAACTCTGAGACTTCTTAATAGCCTGAAGAATTAAATTTGACTTAAAAGTATATGCATGTTTCAACAGGGAGAATCCGATTGTATATGCAACATGTGTAGCTACTGTGTTGGGAGATTTATACTGATGCATACATCAGTTTACTGGCCTACCAGCAAACTGGCTAAGTAGCACAATGCAAAGCCATTGTAGGATTCTTCACTTTACAAAGTTATATTATGATAGCTTCATTCACTAAGGATAATCTGAAAACAGCTTTCCATTATGCCCAGGGCAAAACATAGAGGCAGCTCTGGCATGTAGGTGCACATGCGCACGCATACACTAGCATTAACAGAAGTCAAGAGAGGCAGTTTACATCACTAGAAGAAGGATGAAGTACCTGACCTTGAGGATATTTTGAACAGCATTTAAATCCATGGGCAACATTTGCAATTGATCATACAAGAGTCTGGCTAACATCAGTGCAGGAATACTGTGGGAAAGGCTATCACCAAAAACTGGACTTGCCCCCTGCAATAGTACAGTCACTGCACATACCACTGGAGCTAAATTGGATCCCCAAACTGGGAGACTTTGTCTTAGAGAAACGTGGCAACATTGCATAGATAGTGGCTAAAGGGATTTCAGACTAGATGCTATTCAGACTTTCCCACATGCTGGGACCAAGTGTTTTATTAGAATCCTGAGCTGGTGCCGTAAGAGTAGAGCCCTCGATACATAACACGTAAGTTCTGCTTTTGGAGACTGGGTTACCAAGATAGGATCTTGGATGCTTCAGTCTACTGAAGAACCCAGAATAAGAGTAGAAGAGGAAACTGTGTTTTTATCATCGATGCAAGTACCCAGTTCTCAGAACAAGATGATACAAAAGGCCAAGCTGTCAACATCGTGTGATTTTTATGATGTTGAGAAAATGAGCCCTGGAAAAAGGTTTTTCAATCCCTTCTGTTGAAGTCAATCATTATTCCTAGAAGCCCAAGAGTGCACCAGAGCCTTTAGTCACAGGTGAACTAGGGAAAACTATACGGAGAT